GCTCTTTCCCACTATCCTTCTCTCTTCATTCCTTCCTCTGTTCTATTTTACCCTTTCTACTCTCCTCCCTCCTTTCCTCTGCCTCGTTTTCTCCTCCCCTTCCTCCTCTCCTCTCACCAAACGTGTCTGGAACAAGATCGCTCTCGACGTATTGTACAAGTTGTTCGGACTGCACAAGAAATTGTCGATCAAACAGAATCACGGCATCAAGATTTGAAATTTTACCTGAAAAACAGCAAAATGCAGCCTCCTCTCCCAGAGTCCCTTCGAAAGTTGTGAGTTGCTGTGACTTTCGGCCATTTCTAACCTGGTCAAGAAACAAGTTTGCAAGGAAAACTGCTCTCTCCCTGCGAAAGAAATTCAGACATGCTTTGGAAGGGATGGGGACGAGAACAGCATGTAGACAAGAACAGCATGTAGACGAGACAGAATTGTTCTTGATGTTCTTTGTGATGATGACGATGATGATGACGATGGTGGTGGTGGTGATGAGGAGGAGGAGGAGAAGGATGGGGAGAAAGGCAGAGAGGAGCAGGAGGGAAAAAGGGGCAGGAAGGCACGGGAGCAGGATCAGATTTCTCTTTGATGGAACCTGTCGTAATTGTTGACAACTCGGACGAACTCCATGTAATGTTTGTGAATTCCCTGTCACCTCAACCATGAGTCCCTTCAAGACTGTTCCCGTCCTCTACCTCCGCCACATCAAGATCCTCGTCCCTCAGCAGCTTCTCAAACGTTTCACAAAGGACCTGGAAGCTCTTGTCAAGCACGGGCGATGATAGCAAGAGACACGTGTTCATTCCGTCGACAACAACACAACGAGGGGGCGAAAACACCAGAAGCAAATTCATCACCATCAACACTCATCACCATCGACACTCATCACCATCGATATGTCCATCACAATCTGTCAACAGCAACATGGCGGGAGGAAGTACCGAGAGGCAGTCCTCGTCGAAGAGGTTCGGGTATAGGTGAATGCTATGAGACATCATCCAGCGAACGTCCGCTGCCAGCTCGTCAGCCTCGTCCGACCGGTGAACGTCTCTTACATTCATCGTCCTCGCACATGCACTTGTACACTACCAGCGCCTCCGCCCAGGCCACCCCAGCCTCCTTGCAGAGACGAAGAGCCGCGGGGAACTAAGACAGTGAAACCATGAGGGGGGGGAGAGTTAAGAGAATATGGAAGGGGAGGCGGGAAGAAGACTTGACAGAGAAGGAAGAGCAGCAGATCAAAGAGAGGAGTACGAGAAGCTGGAGGAGAACAAGGAGGAGGAGGAGGAGGAGGAGGAGGAGGAGGAGGAGGAGGAGGAGGAGGAGGAGGAGGAGGAGCACTGGAATGAACATAAGCAGAACCTGATAAGCGAGAGCGATTGGGTCGGTGATAGGAGGGACCAAAAACCATCTTCATCCCATCCTTCAAACGACCAGTCAGTGGAAATCTCCTGTTCCCCTCCTCTATCTCCGTTTCCCCATCCTCCCTCCTCCCTCCTCCCTCCTCCCTCCTCTCTGCTGTGCTGCCTTCTCTCACCTTGACTGTTATGTAACTTCCATCTTCCGACACCTGACTGATAGTTACATCGAGACTTGAAATCATCGCCTCCACCTTCCAAACTCCATCTGGGAGCTCCACGTGTCGTTGAGCAAGATACGCGCTGTAAGAAGCCTATGGATAGCATGAGAAAAGGAGAGGGAAGGGAGGAGAAGGTGAGGAGAGGAGTGAAAGGATGGAAAAGAAGGGGGGAGGGGGGGCAGAAAGACGAGAGGAGAAGTGAAAGTGGAGGAGAGGCGGAGAAAAAGCAAGGAAACTAAAGTCAAGGAGCAAGAGAACGATAAACAGACAGATAGACAGATAGACAGGAAGACAGATAGAGAGATAGAGAGATAAACAGACAGACAGACAGACAGATAGACAGATAGATAAACAGACAGACAGATAGATAGAGAGATAGACAGACAGACAGAACTTATTCTCACCTGCATTGCTCGAAGCCAACAAAGCCTTCGCTCCCATGTCGAGGGGATCACGCTCAAGATGATTGGTAGCTGGAGCAAGTGATGACAAGTGCAAATCAGATTTGAGATTCCATGGCATGCAGGAACAGAGACATGCACAAGATATTCAAAAGAAGACATGCTCTACAAGCAGTGCATATCAATTTCTCGTCACCTGACAGTGAAGTTTCACAGACAAGTTCGACGTTCTCTGATCATTCCAACTCCAGGCGCAAACCTTGAGAGTACATGTAAGCTCGACCATCGAAGAAAGTCGGCGACTGACAATGGCCGGATTCAAGAAATTCTCTTTCACGTCTCCCGGCATGCTCGAACAAACTTCCAAGATGTCCTGTCGGCTACTCAACCATGGAACAAGACCTCATCATACACTCACTTGAATCACAGGGTGAAACGCTTCCAACGCTGCTGTCTTCTGCATTCGCCGTCAGCATTCACAGAGCCTCGCTCTGACCTTTTACAGCTTCTCCGCGGAGGTTGATGAGCAGGCGGCAGAGACCTGCCGGTTGAGATGAGAGGCAGGGAGGAGAGGAGGAGATCTGTGCTCACTGGGTAGGAACCCGCAGAGATAGACGTGGAAGATGAGACATTCGATCATCGCCTGCGAGACAAGATCAGTCGTCAGAGTCGTGTGAAGATGCAGGAGAACAAAAGGATCAAAAATCATGTACAATGTCGCCCGTCAGTTGCCAATGATCAGAGAGAGAGAGGGAGAGCGAGAGGGGGAGACAGAGAGGGAGGGAGGGAGGGAGGGAGGGAGGGAGGGAGGGAGGGAAGGGGAGAGGAAAGAATGGGAGCAGGAGGAAAGAATCTCAACCCACAGCAGCTTCTACAAAATCTCTCCTCCTCCTCACCTTCCAGGGCCTTGCCGCATGGCTCCAATCGTGCATCTCTCCTCCTCGAAACACTGCAAGTGCTGCTTCCATATACCTGCTCCCTGCTCAACTTCCTCCCTCCGCTCTTGTTCCCTCCCCTGCCTCCCACCTCCTCCTCCCCGCCCTTTCCCCATGTCCTCCTCCTCTTCCTCCTCCTCCTCCTCCTCCTCCTCCTCCTCCTCTTCCTCCTCCTCCTCGCCTCCCTCACCTCTCTTCGATTGTCTTGATGGCACTGAGCTTGATCTGAGGGTCTTCGTTGGAGCTGCTCTCGTTGTCAGATCAACGGACTTCTGCCCTCCTTTCTTCCTCCCCCACCTCAACAGGTCCAGGTGCATGGCCCGGATCTCGCTAGCAACGTCGCATCCTGCCTCATCCTTCAACCCTCCTCCTCCCCTCCCGTCAGCAACTGACCGCTGTTTGACGCTGAGTAGTGCAACTGCCCCAGCAGCTGCGCCAGTTTGACTTGGTCGACATCCTGGGGGAACTTCAAAATTCCCGCACGAGGGGTCGGAGAGGCTCACAGGGTGTTGAATGCAGGGCATGGTGAAGTTTTCGATGAACTCTCGCCCGAGAACTCCGCTTAGCAACTGAGATCGCAGTCAGAGTCATACCAATGGTGACTGAAACATAGTGCTTGTGTAACAACATTACTATTAGCAACATGAACATTATCATTCTTAACACCATCACCATCGCCGTCGTTATCATCATGTCATGATCGCTACATTCATGATAGAACATCTCAGACGACAAGGCACACAAGAATCATCTCATAAAACAAATCAATTCACTCATGACATGGAACAGCAGCGCAAAGGTGATCACTCAAGGTAAAGACCTGCAGAGCGTCGAGCATGCCGTGTTTGGGAACAAGATCGAGAGGTTCTGCGGTGAGTGAGAAGGGAGAAACGTTTGCTTCCCACTCATCAACCGGAGTATTGTGTGTTTGAAAGACGAAGAGCACCGTGACGAGGGACCTGGAGGAAACATGACGAAGGTGTAGATGAGAGGAGGATTAGATGTGTAGGCGAAGCGAGGGAGGACGAGAGGAGGAGCAAGCAGTGAACGAGAGATGGAATGCGGAGAGAATAGGACAGGACAGGAGAGGGGAGGGGAGGAGAACACAGGAGAGAAGAGGAGCGGAGAGGAGAGGAGAGGAGGGGAGGGGAGGGGACAGGACAGGACAGGACAGGACAGGACAGGACAGGACAGGACAGGAAGTGACGACGATACTCTCGGATCTCATATAGTCACGATGTTGTTATGCTCACCTCGGAGTACTCGTAGGAACCTGACTGCATCTGCTCCTTGGTGATCTTGGTGCCGTGCCATGTTCTGATAGCAGTCAAGTGCTCCCAAGGTAAACAAGACCATCATGCAGACATGCCACGAGGAGTGCAGAGAAGTGATGAGTGAGAAAGATGTAATGATGAGGAGAAGCAGAGTGACGAGAACACTTGCAAACAAAAGAGACGGGGAAAGAACAACAAGGGACAACAACAAGGAACAACAGCAACAAGGAAGGATAAGAAGAGAAAAGAAGGATGAGATGCACAGCAGCGCTTCTCACCGGTCCAACACCGCACTCTCTTTGAAAGATCCTTCTAGCCCGATACTGAAGTCATCGTCCATAACGCACAAGTTCTGCAACACGATGATGAGACAGGCGTCGAAGAATGAGCATGCAAGATCAGAGCTTAAGGAAAACTTGTCTCTCCTCTCTCCTCTTGCTACCTGTCTGGACATGTTTTTCGGAAGCGACATCAGTTGCCCTGCTTTCTTGAGCACTCGCTTGAAGGCGCTTTTCTCTGCTTCGTTCCCTAGGTTTCGATCAGAATCAGAAACTGATCCTAGCAAGAGGATGAAGAGTAGAAGCTGAAAGAGAGGAGGAGGAGGAGGAGGAGGAGGAGGAGGAGGAGGAGGGCGGAGATGGGGAAAGGGACGGGGATAAGGACGAGGACGAGGAATTTATAGGAGAAGGAGAAGGATCCAAGATGTACAAGAAGATGTACAAGAAGGTTTGAACGTAAATCAAACAGGAGATGGAGGGCAAAAGCGAAAATAAGAGGTTTTAGGAAGAGGGGGAGGGGGGAAGAGGAAGGGGGAAGATGATGAGGAGGAGAGGGGGGGGCAGCAGCAGGGATGGTACTGACCCGCTAGTTTGGAAGGGTCTGCCTCTCCGGAGATGTGTATAACAGTAGACGAGCCGTGCCAAGACCTCTCCTTGACGCTGACCATCTTCTTGGCAGCTGAGAACAAGACAGCGGAGTTACTTGAAACATCGGGAAGCAGCGGAAGGAGACTGAGTGAGGATGAAGGAAAGGCAAGGCAGGGAAAGAATGAGCGTTCACTTGAGTGGTCGACGGAGTTCGTGTCGCTGATGAAAAGATCTGAGCTGTCTGAAAGGACATTATAGTCATGACAAATAACACGTAGAGGAAGATAAGGACGAAGAGTAGTATTAGCAGTAGTAGTTGATCTAGCAGAAAAAGTAGGAGGAGAGGGAGTAGGAGGAGGAGGAGGAGGATGGAGAGGGAAGAGGAGGAGGAGGAGGGGTAGGAGGAGAGCAGAAATGTTCACCTGAGTCGTAGATGACACCGTTCAGCTCCTTGACAAGGATATCGTATGGAACATGGAGGGCAATAGAGCAGAGCGCCTGCAACAATAACGACGGCACGGGATCAGCAATTTCCTGTCATCTGCTGAACAGAACCCTCCATCCCTCCTTCATCCTTCTTCATCCCTCCTTCATCCAGCATTTCTCTCTCTCTCACCTGTGGAGCCTCTCTCGCCAATTCGCGAAGAGCATCAACACGTTTTTCCCGCGAGCCGTGAAGGAGCTAGAGGGATGTCAGTATATATCTCCTCCTCCTCGTCCATCTCCAACTCCTCCTCCCCCTCCTCTCTCTGTCTCTGTCTCTCGCTCGCTTGCTCAATCCCCCCTCCCCCCGGCCTCCTCCTCCTCCTCCTCCTCCTCCTCTCCCTTCTTCTCCTCCTCTCCTTCCTCCTTTGCCACAAGCCTATTGTGTCCCTTCTCCTCTTCCGCACTCACTTGCTCGCTGACTATACGGAAAAGCGTTCCCAGTGAGGACAGTTTTCCGAAATCTGGAGAAAGTTGAGCGAAAAGGGGGAGAAAAGACAGTTGCAATGAAGTGAAAATCAAGAAGGAAGAGAGTGGAAAAGGACAATAAAAAGGCAAAGGAAAACAATATGAAGACATTCAAATCATTTGATAAAGATACAGAAAGAAAGGCAACAAGTCTAGTCAAGTCAAGTCAGGTCAGGTCAAGTCAAGTAAAGCAAAATCAAGTCACCATAAGACCAGAACAGGACAAGAAAAAGAGACAAGGGAGGACGAAGGTGAGGAGAACTATTGGCAGTGGGAGATAGCAAGGTCAGGATATCACCGGTGGTATCAAGGTCAAGATCAACCATCACCGAAGGGTTCAGCTGCCCCAGCACTTCGCACGCCTGCTCTTTCGTCAATCTCGTCATGACATGAGACACATCGCTGACCGCCGTCCAGGCGATGGAGGCCGACGAGGACTTGAATTGGTTGAGGAAGGAACTGAGGCGATGCTCGTAGATCTGTCCAAGGGCAAGATGGAAGTCGCCAAGAACGATCAGCGATGATCCGCAAAAAGCAAAGATGAAGACATCGAAGAAGTGCGGGCAGGCGGGAAGTAATGAAGGCAGGCAGACAAGGATTGTGGGAGGGAGGGAGCTAAAGAAAGCACGAGAGAACGATCAGCACCATGCAAACATCTCAGGTGGACAGTGTTGACACGAGACATCTGGCTCAAGACATCTCACTCACATCAGTCGTTGAGAAGCTGATGTTCTGATTTCCATTGATCGCTACAATCTCTCCACACGTCGAGGCTCCTCCCTGCTCCCGTCGTTACCAGACGCCCTCCCAACAGAACCTCGCTGTGCTATTACCCCTTCTCCTATCCTGAGCGCTGATTTCGTCCCCTTGTAGAGGAAAGAAGTTCAGAAAAAAACACCACTGGTCACCTCTCACCTTCCTAATCTTGTTCAAGTCTGCATACGACGCTTCTCCGAACTGAAACAAGGCGCTCAATCACACGCGGTAGGGAGGTAGATGAAAGGGATACCTTGAACCCCGTGATCCCCTGTGAAAGCATCCGCACCGCACACGAGCGGAACCTGAAGAACGAGTTAGGAAGGAAGGAGCGTGTGAGGGACAGGAAAGAGTTAGGACGAGGAGGGAGGAGATGCAGGAGAAGGAGAGAGCGAAGGGTGCCGAGAAGGTCGTACAAGCTAGATCCAAGCACAGGTGTATGCGGAGGAGATCGGGGAAGGAAGTTGGGGGGGGGAGGCAAGACAGAGGGAGGAAGCAAGGAGAGAACCTCTCAATGTTGCTCCTCGGAGTTGCATTCCCGGCATCTTTCGTCTTCAATTGATAGTCCTGTCATGCCACGTCACCGACTACCTCGCTCTCTACTGCTGCTTGTGCCTCCGGCGTTGCCATCATCACTACCCAGTTGCAAATGTTGTGGGGAAGCTGAAGAGGTTGTGAGGAGGACCAGCAGACGAACTCCCAACAGCGCGAACCTCTTTGAAGAACGTTTGAAGATCGACGGCAAATGTCAATGGAAGCAGCTCCACCTAGTGACGAGAATTCAGAGATAGCACTTTCCGATATTTTATCTCCTTCTTCTGCCTTCTCCTCTCTCTGTCTCTCTCTGTCTCTTTCTTTCACACGCGTACACACATACAAACACAACACACACTACCTTCCTACCTCCCCCTCAATCTTTCCTCCCTCTCTGCCTCTGCCTCTTCCCATCCCTCAAGCTCCCCCCCCTCTCCCTCCTTCTGTCTTCCTCCCAGCTTCACTGATCATGCTCGACACCTGAAATATCATCGTCCCTCGGTTGCTCGCTGACTTCTTCCCTCCTGGTTTGATCAGAGTCCCAGTGAGGCTGACCGCATTCGGACTGTCGCAACTTTGTGAGCTAACAAGGACGAGAGCGGAACACGGTCCCAACCTGATCCCCATTTCCATCCACTTGTCTGAAGTATCTTCGTCTTGAATGTCTTGCACTGAGAGGGCAGAAAGATCAGACGTCAATATGCTCGATCAAGGTAAGGACGCACTGGAAGAAGAGAACTCATCGAAGGGGATCTTAAAGCTCCCGATGAACTTCGGTCGGAGAACCCTCCTTTCTGTGACCTCGACGCTCAACTGACAGGTCAAGTCAGGTTGACAGGTCCGACGGCGCCCCCCGTCCCCCGCCCCCCTTTCCCCCCCCTCGAATCGCTGAAGGGCTTCCAACGCACACCTGAGCATTTCGTAGCCGGGGGCCCTCCTGCCGTGATTGTACTCAGCCAAACATCTCAAAGTGAAGTGAAGGAGGGGCAGCAGAGTCAAGCAAGGAGTGTGCTTCATCCGCCCAATCTGGATCATCAAACGGCAGGGGGAACAGCCATGACATAATCCCTGACAACCCCCGAAATGCGCTCTCTAACTTCCGACCCCAGGTGTACACGAGTAACAGTACAAGGCAGGATACGATGCTTACATCCAGCACGAAGCTGAGAATGTCGGCGAAGTACATGGTACAGCCATCTGCAACACAAGATCATCCCTGGTCGGCCTCGAGACATGCCTCCACTGCCCCTCACCGATGTCCAGCTTCACATTCATAGGAGGAGAAATGTAATCGTTGGTCTCAGGGCTCCAGACCTGGGAGCCGAACTTAGCCAGAGTACGGGAGCTTCAAGTACAATGAAGTTCAATGTCACCCCGATCGAAGCGAGGATCGGACTCTTGGGCGCCTCATACAAGCTTCCTGTCAGAAGTCGGAACTGCAGAAGAGTTTTAGGAACCGTACTGATTTCCCTGTGTTATACCTTGAACATTCTTGTGGCCACCATGAAGGATTCAGTGCTGGGAACTGCGAGAAACTTAAGAGGCTTGCGAATCCGTGTGCAATTCTTGCTCACCACAGTGTAGCTTGCCACGACGACTCTGCGAGCCTCGTCGCTTGAAAGACATCATGTACAATGGCTCAGGTAATGCAGGTGTCTTGTCGCAGAGAAAATCAGATCATTCGTCTTGGTTCAGCTGCAGGCATTCGCAGTCAGCTCATGAAACCCTGCTACTTCCGCTGACGGCACGAGGAGACTTGAGGAGAGGTGCAGGATCTCCATCTACCCTCAGACTGTCTGGGCCTCCATGGCAGGGCATCTACGCCTGTAACTGGATCCGCTTCTTCCCCTCAAGCTCCCGCCCCTCTCCCCCCATTCCCGTCCCTGCTGCCCCTCCCGGCCTCCCCATCCTTCACGCTTTCCCCCATCTCGCCATGAGGTCCTCAGACTCGCACCGCTTGAGGTTAAAATATTGTCGTGCAATCTATAGAGATATCAGAAAATGAGTAAACTTAGTATGGAATACTGATATTAAATTGGTTTTAGAAGTCATCCAGTACCACCACGTACCAGCTAAAATATATTTAAATACAAAGGGCTCCTTACGAAATTATGTTCTGTTTATTTCAAATACATAAAGGTAAGTACAAAATTTTAACTCCGATTTCAGCAAAGCCCTCATGAAAAAAAGAAGGTTCATTGCAAGCCGAAATTAACCAAGGGGGGTAGTCCGAATCAACATAGTACCCGTCCTATTGTCCTACAAACAACCGGATAGGGGCACATAGTACCCCTACCACTATCAGGCAGTCCTGCTCCGCCCTTTTGCAAACCACCCAGCTTATTGGACCCCACTTTTCCTGGAGAGAAGCACCGGTAGCACAGCTACAATCGTGTACTCGACCCAAAAAGTGCCTGGGAAGAGCAATGGGATAGGAGCGGGGAGAGAGGAGCTAGGAGCGGGGAGAGAGGAGCGGGGAGAGAGGAGCGAGGAGCGAGGAGCGAGGAAAGGAGGAGAGAGGAAAGGAGGAGAGAGGAAAGGAGGAGAGAGGAAAGGCGGAGAGAGGGGGTAGGAGAGGTAGTTCTCAAAGACGCGCTGAACAAGAGCAGCAAGAACAGTTTCCGAGTAACATTTACGAGTAAACAACGGTGAGACAGTGAATCCGTGCAGGCTACATCGGAGCTATTCAGCGGCCGCCTGCCCTTCCTCAGGCACAGGTGGTGGCTCCAGGTTCAGATCGCCTGCACAAACAAGTGTGTAAAGATGATGTGTGAAAATGGTGAACGGAAGCGGGTGAAGATGAACGCAGAGAAAGCAATTGAGTTACCTGCAACTCCTTTACACTTCTCGTTGCGTTTGTATTCGGGCAGGCTGGGTTCTGGCAGAACCTTGCCGACGACCGGCGGTGTGAACATGGCACCAGTCTGAGAAACTGCTGTTGAGTACCGATCAAGCTCCCGCATCGCGGTACCTCGTAAACACCCCAGCCACAGTAGAAGTTGACGAAGGTATATCCCCATCCGACCGTAACGGCTCCAGGCCATGCCAGGCTGCGGACAACAGCGCAGGCATACTGCGGAGCCTTTCCTCCTGCTAGATGAGCAGTCCATGCGGGAGAGTCGTACTTAGGGATCTGTTCAGATGTCAGAGTAAAGCAAGGAGAGGAGAGCGGAGAGCATGACGACCTTGTCGAGGTGTATGCTCTGTAGTGCAGGGCGATTCTTCTCCAATCGTGGATCTTTGGCATCAGGATTGCTCTCAGGAGGCGTCCAGCCATAGTCATAGTACTTGCAGCGACCCTACAAAAAGAGAGATGAGGAACACGAGTACAAGAATGGACAAATAAACCTGCGGCAAGAGATCCAACGAGGCATGTACCCAGCTTGACTTGTGCAGCTCACAGAGGGCATGCCCGGTCATGCCAAAGAAGGTCCCTTCTTCCGATAGCCCGACTGTCAGCTCACCTCCTCCCTCGTAGTCCGTCACATCTGCCAGATGCCCCCGAGGAGCGATGCGACAGTCCGCGCTGATTCGTGCGATCTGCGCTCGGAGATAGTGAAGCTCTCTGCCCGGGAAGGAGCTCTTGGAGAGGACAGGAGCATCCAGGTTGCCAGTGAAGAATCTTCTTATGTTTCTAGCCTGTCGTGAAAGATCAGGGTCGTTCGAAGGTAACACATAGAAACTGTCATACCGCGATGATCGTCTTTGGCTCGACGTCGGGAAGTCTTCTCCATGGGCTGGAATGCCCTGAAGTAACGTAGTACACGAAAGCGTTGCTGCTCATCATGAAATCTACAGGAGCTTCGGATCCGATCGAGTCGGGCGGGACGATAGAAGGATCCTGTTCTCCCTCAGGAAGAGGAGGGTTTGGCTGTCGCCCGCTCATCAAGCATTCCGCTATGATCTAACAAACAAAGTCAAAGGAACATACCCTGTTTTCATTGATCATCTCACATAATCCTTCTCAACACCCATGATCTTGCCCCACAGCCGCACGGACGATATCTTCTCGCCCTCAACTGCATCGGGGTTCTTGTGCAACAACGTCTGTCATGTAGACGTGAGGAGGATGCCATATGAACTCATCAACCAAACCTTTAAACTGAGGTAGAGTCTCACTGCTTCTTCCTTGCCAAACCCAACGCCAGCTCTCTCCAGGAAGCCGAGATCGTGTAAAACATCTCCCATGTCGCCTTCCACCTCGACAGGCAGAAGCTCCTCGACCTCCTGGCCCTCTACGGGTTCAGCTGGAGGTGCGGCAGGATCGACAGGAACAGGAAGCTTGAAAGGCCTGACCTTTTCCTTCAAATCCTACAATGACGTTACAACACGGGGGTGGTTACATGGAGAATATTTGTACGTGAATATCCTGCTCTTGTGGCAGGGTTGTCTCTGTTGACAAGTTCTCAAAGATAAATGGGAGGAGATCAGGAGTCAAGTCTGATGGTTGAGTTTCAATCAGATGCAGAAGTCTTTCCTGGAATAACAGAGGGTCAGCGCACGTTACTCTACGTATGCAAACTATCAGGATCTCAGTGGTATCGGAGAGAAGGCAAGATCTCATCAGGGGAACGATAGCAATACTAGAGCTGGAGACATCGAGAGGAAGCAGGAGCAAGGTGCTGAATATCAAGGATGCGGTGGAAGGCGGGTAACGCTGGCAGAACTGGTGGGTTGGGCAACAAGGCGGGAGGGCAGCAAGAGAGTGGACAGGAGTGGGCAGGCGCAGCAGCAGCAGGGAGGAGCAAGAAGAAGTGAGATCAGGCATGTTGTCTCTTGTGTGTTCTTGCCTTCAAGAAGCCCATCAGCGCCTCCTTCTCCCCCATCGCGCGAATCCCGGACATGGTCCCCTCAAACGGTCGGCGGTTGCCGTGGACCCCATCCCCACCACATACCGAATACCAAAACAACGGAAATGTAACGGACAAACCGTTCGAATGTGGAACCCGTGGCAGATGTCGGGCGAGAGGGAGACTGTCTGAGGGCGAGGACGAGGGGAGACTGAGGAAACAGGTTCTTGTTTACGCACTTCATCTGCTCTGTCAAGGTGCAAGTTTGACTCGCTGCGAGAAGCTTGATATTTCTGGAAATTTGAGGCATTCTGCTATACTTGAAACCTCAGCATTATGGAGGTCGAGCTCACAGGAATCTTGGAGGATGATGTTCGAACCCTTGTGATCGAGATATTGAATGGAACCCAGGAATCGCTGCCAAGAGTTACTTCAACTGTAAGTCTCCTTGTCGCTTGTTTGCCTCATGCTTTTCTTTGCGAAGGGAGCTGACCGTTTGTGCACTCAAGATCGCAAGATTAGCCAGGACGGGAGTGGAAGAACGAACATCGTTGTTTGAAGGTGAAGCCTTAGGTGCGCTATCTACTCTATGCACCAAGGACAACGAAATCAAGATTCAAGTTCATGCCGCATATGCAATTTCTGCTCTCGCAAGCAATTTCACTTCGACAATGGATGAGAACAGAGTTTACGCATACGGTGATGTTCAAACAGAGGCCCTTCAACTGAAGCTTGTCCACACCTTGACCTCAAGCTTGACCTCGTGGCATCCCGAGCTGCAGGCGGCGGCAGCTGATGCGCTGGCCTCCTTGTGTTACCGGAACACTGAGGTTCGGAGGGAGATGGGAAGACTGGATGCGTGTCGTTTGCTTGTGAATCTGCTGTACAGCCAACACGTCGATGTTCATAAAGCAGCTCTATGTGCCCTTCGTGCATACTGCGTTGATCCTGCAAGAGCTCAAGAAATTGAACAGAGGGAATGCTTGTCACAAGTTTGCAAACTTGCCAGGAGCGACAAAGATGATGTAATCTTCCGCGCTCTCTCCCTTGCATGGATGCTGGCTGGAGTGGACTCGATCAAAGAAAAGCTAGCATCGGAAGAAACCGGCGGCTTCCTCAAGCACGTTGTCCTTCTGTTAAGATCGAATAACAGGCACGTGAAATCCATGGCCGCCATTCTGCTGCGAAAACTCAGCCTGATTCGAGAGAATGCCAAAAAGGTCTTTGGTGAGAGAGAACATTTCTGTTGCAGAGCTATGATGCAACTTGGATGACTTGAGTCTAGATGAAGGGGCTCACACCGAGCTGGTCTCGGTGCTTTTCGATACAGATGACACCACCAAGGTCAACGTCGTGGGATGCTTGCACTTGCTCTGCTCGGAGGAACTTGTTTTGCTTCTTCATGCTCAAGTCTGATTCTTGACAGCAGAGACGACAACGAGAGACGATCGCCACGAATCAAGACCTCACAGAGTTTCTTTCGACGACGAGACACGTGCAAAGGAGAGGTGGTAGCTCTGGTGTCTGTGGTCGCAGCTGAACAACTTTCTTGTAGAAGGGAAAGCCAAGCCGAGCAGCGCGCTAGTCTCGAGCTCCAAGAAGCTTTTCGATCTCCTGTTCCCTTCCAAAGAAGAAGAGGGTGAGGACAGGTTCTCGCTGAGATAAGTCAAACAGAATGTACATTTTTATTAATCTTAAAGGGCACAAATGGGTTGCAATCATCAAAACTGACAACTCCTGACAATGCTTCTCATCATGAGGATACCCTGTTTCAAATCCTCACCACCATGAAGTTCCTACACTCTCACGTTCACATGTCCAAGGAACATTTAGCTCCAAACCCAGAGCTCTGTTTACCATTAGAAATCAAATAGAGCATCCGCTAGCAGAAGGCCTCCTACAAGATTTGCCCATCAGACAGAGTCATTCGAAACAATCAAAACTCACCGAGAGCTCCTGCTCCAGCAGCGAGTGCGGTACTGCCTCCCCCTGAGTTGGCTGGGCGGCCATAGTAGGTTGGACCAGGAGCATACTGCTGACCAGGAGCATACTGTTGATACTGCTGACCTGGTTGAGGCAGGGGAGCGAAAACGAAGCCACCTGGCTTAGCTCCAGGGGGGACTTGAAACTGTGAAACTTGACCAGCCTGGGGGTACCCTTGAGGGACAGTGACACTCATGACTTGTCCAGGACGCGCCTGCGAATCTTCAGAGGGGAAGGCCAACACAAACAACCCTCACGTTGTAAGGAAGTTGAACTTTGAAGGTTCCGGGTGGACAGCTTGGTTGCTGCTGCTGCTGCGGCTTTTGCAACTTCTGCGTCATCTCATACGAAGGAGGCGCAGAAGGCTTGCCCGTAGCCACTTGCACAGGTTTGCCGCAAGAGGAGCAGAATTTAGAGGCATCTGGCAGAGACTGCCCACAGTTGGCACAGAACACCATCTTGAATCGAGGTAACGCTTCTGCCAACAAAAGCAGAATCGTCAGAATACATGCAATCGTTGTGGTTGCCGAGTTCGAGGCCATGCTCTGACACATGTCTAGGTCTCAGGTCATGTACTTGAAAGAAGAAGGTTGACAGCTCAAAATGGCGTGGGTGGAACACAGGCCAACGGGATCATTCTTGTACACAACAAAAAACCTTCAACAAGAGCAAAAGCAATCAAAACAAAAAATAAACGGAGCATCCTCCAATGCACAAGACAAGAAAGGAATATTAAGATGAAATCAGAGCATCATCGGGGAGTGAGTGGTCCACGAAACAAGATCTAGGAATCGCCATGGATGGGAGGATAAGATTGAGGGTAACGTTCGTTCCGCCATCATGGTGGCTATACAATCGCAATCGCGGTTTCGCTCCGGCAATAAAGGTTGTTTTCCGTTTTAAAATTATAATAAATGTTATTGTTAGTACAGAAACGATAATTTTTATAATTAGTATGAGACCTCACTATACTACAACATGTTAAAATTTGAACCAGGATATTTACATGTATATTTGTTTGAAGTCTTGTGTAAAATAGTACTAGTATTAGATTAGTGATCGCATCCAAAAACGGAACCATTTGTACCAATACTCACAAACCAATCTAATTCTATAATTACTTTTGTAAAGTACGGCTTTAGGACGGCATGAAACCATCGCAATTGCGACAAATGTAACTGCCATAATGTAACGGTCGAGAGTTAGACGTAACGTCTTTTCGGCACCATGCGAATGTCCCTTCATACCGGGTGGCGCTAGGAAGGGAGAAGGCGGGAGGATGCGCGGGAGAGGAGGTGAGAGGAGGTCAGCAGAGAAGTGAAGAGTTGAAGGTAGCGGCTGGAGGGAGCGAGCTTCGGTCGTCAGGAGAGGATCGCCCAAGTGTTGCGGCTGATGCTAAGACTCTGAAGCTGGACGTATGCGACGATAACAGGCGATTCCAGCGACCATGGCGTTTGAAAGATGGTCATGGTGCTCGTTCACCATTCTAGTCTTCCTTGCTGCATGTGATGGTGAACAGATGTGCCCTGCTCCAGACACAACGCTGGTTTGCTCCAGATGCCCCAATGCCTGCCCAGGCCCTGAATGCGCTCAGCTTTCATACGGGTCGAAATGTGCAGGAGGCAGTTGGCTGAACATCAACTCAACTTTCATGAGCCTGAACTGTGCTCCTCCGCCAGGATTGCCTGCAGAAAAATATCCTGCGCCTCTCATAACCAGTCCACAAGTCAAAGTGCCCCTTTCATGCGAAGGTCAGATCAAGAAGGGTTTGTGGCCTTTCGACGCTGACAACATGACTTTCTCATTGGAGACCATGTTTCAAGTCGACTCGTCGCAAACAGCAGACGTCTACACATCCTGCCTAGAAGTCTCTCTGCAACCAACGGAGTCAGGAGCTTCGGATCTTGTCAACACTGACGAGGCCCTCGCGTGCCCCGTGACGTCTTCGCAGCTGGCCTCGTACGCATACAGTGGTCTTAGTCTTTTTGTGTGTCTCGGAACGAAGCTTTCGCTGGATCCTTACTGTCGTCAAGGCCGCTGGGTGGAGGTGATCACAGGAGCTTGCGTGGGGGAGAGAGTCTTCGGGGACATCGAGCTGACCGACCCCGGTACGAGGCTGCTGATGCGAGTTGGTGGTCCTACCAACATCACTGGATGTCAGACCAAGTGGAAGGCAGACGTGACAAGGACTAAGGGAGGATGCAGGTCGCTGCATCAGGGGTATGGGAGCTGCTGTATCAGCTCCTGCGTTAGAGGATATAGGTTGTTGCCCAACAGTTGCCAGTGCATTTGCCCTGCCGGATATGCTGGAATTCTATGCGAGAAGACTGAGCCGCATTTGGACATTGTCTTGACCGTCTTCAACATCACACAAGCTGATTGGGTTGTTTTGAACACAAACAGCATCGGCAAAGGACAGATGCAGAACCAGTACAAGGTCGTCTCCGCGATTGCTGATACTCTCAGTATCCCGCGATCTCGTGTAGAGTTCGGGTGGGCCGATGCACCAGCAAGTCGACGAAGGGAATTCTCCTCTGAATCTCCAGCAGGAAGCCAAGTCTCGGTAGCGGACCCAGGAAGACGTGCTTCCCAGCGCTGCGACTCGCCTGATGTTTCTGTTGCCAACAGCAGGGGCATATCGATGTTGAAGATTCGTTTGCTTTCCACGTTTGAATATGAGCTGCCTCTCCTCAGTCAGAAATTCAGTGCCAACGTCGAGAGTGGCGCATTTGAAAACGCCTTCGGTGCATCGGGCCTGTACATCTGTATCATATCCTCTCAAATCACATTTTACAACGCGTTTGCGTATGAGTTGCAGTCCAAGACTTTGGTGCAAAAAGCACAAGGCATAACCATAAGTGACGTGATTCTGATCGTTTTTAGCATCTTGGGAGCTCTGACTGCACTGTTCTATCTTTTCTTGTACTACATGATTCATCGATCTCATACAAGGGACGCTACTGAGCATCTTCGCAAGTACAAGCCGGTTCAGCCCCTGTTCTCGCAAGCTCTGGGCTGGAGCTTTGCTCACCCAATAACGAAAGAGGTCATCAAGCTGCCGAGCAGTGTCAGCAGGATCCTGGAGAACGCCTATATATTTGATTGGTTGCAAGATGGTAGGACCAACGTGAAGCTCACGGTCCCACTGCAAGGCAAGTGGATCGCAGACTTCAGTGAGATGAGGGCGTACGAGACGCTGCATACCTCCAAGTTCGCCATCACTAGGATAGTTGACGCCATCACGTTCGGGCTGGATGCCTCGGCTCTCCCGCAAGACCACTTTTACGATGACAGGACGATCTCCGTCACCGAGGTGACCAGCTACGATGAGAGCAGAAACATCGGACAGGTCAGGAAAGTGATTTCTTACAACGGAAAACTGCGGGAGCTTAAAGTTGATCGACCGTTCATCGTCATCCCAACCATCGGATGTCAAGTGCAGCTAGGAGGCAAGTCAGGGCTGGGATACTACAACCTGCTGCCGCCTGGGATGGACGTGTACGAGCTGGACAAGTTTGCAATTCCGCCGAAGCCTTCAGTCGCTCATCGCAAGAGGATGGAGAATTGGTTGCACGAGACCAGGGAGGTGGCGCGAGGGCGACTGGCGGAAGAGATTCACTATCCCACCTCCCGCCCTCTTCCACCTACTGCGCAGGCCAACCTACAGTCCATGGCCGCTCGAATGAAATTGGCCCAGCAGGCATCGGGCGAGGTTGAAGCGCAGGACCCGAAGCATTCAGAGGAGCTCGTGCAGATGTCAGGGAAGGAGCTGCGTGACTGGCAATCGAGGCTGCACGAAGATTATGTGAGGAGCCGAGACGCCAGGGACAAGATCCTGGCGGTGCTGAACATGTTGCTCCCTCCTCCTCCTCTGACTTTCTTGGTCCGCAGACAAAGAGAAGAGATAGGGAGAGGATGCAAATCCACAGCGCCGACTCGCTCACTCAGATCCGAGACCAGGTGAGGGTGTGGGCGAGAAGGTCGGTGGAATGACGATACCCGCAGGTCTACCTGAAGGAACTCTTCAACCCGGACTCAGGGCAGGAAGTCCTGCAGGAGGTTGGGGTGCGGGACGCGTCTGCTGAGAATAGGGTGAGCTTGCAGAGGATGGAGTCGACGATGCGAGACTCCTCCGCGAGCTCGAGCCTAGTGCTTCCTCGTCAGACGAGCGGCAGGGGGTCGTTCGCTTCGCGCCTGCAGCAGGTGAGGAGGGAGGCAGGGAGATTGGCGCGTGATCATGACCATGGCAGATGGCGCGTGCTAGCGGTATCACCAAGGTAACCAACAGAGAGGTTGTGGAGGATGAGGTAGCAGTCTAGCCTCGTGTGTAAATGTATATTCTTCTTCCGTCCCCTCGGGAGCTACGGGAGCCTTGCTCTGGATCCCAGCACATCTCTGCTCCTCTCACCGTCTCCTCCCTCTCATCCTCCCCCTGTCCTTCCACACATCCTGCTCCTTTGCTCGGCCATGTCAGTTTCCCAGCACTGGAAATGCGCAGAGAATTGAGAGAGGCAGGAACAGTTGAAGAATGTTGAACTCGAAGCACTCCGTAGCTCAAGACTCCGAGACTCGGATGAATGGGAGGGACAGAGGGAGAAGGGGAGAGGTCATGTGCAAGCGGAGCAAGGCAAGACATTATAAACCTACAATATGTACATCAAGATTGTAGCGAAGAACCGGTTTGAGGCCAGAAGAAAGGAGGGGGGGGGGGGGGGGGAAGGGGGGCCGTGACAAAACAACTTGGCATTTTCCCGGGCCGGGGGGGGGGGGGGGGGGGG